AAAATGAAAGCGAAATAGTGCAAGGTGAAACAGAACAGATGGTTTTAAGGGACAGAGGGTCATTGAAACCGCCGGATTTTTACGGCTGTCCGATAGCTATGGTGGCTAATAAAGATGAGCCGAAATCGTATCCGGAAGCAATAAAATCGGAAAATTGTTTAAAATGGGTAAAAGCAATGGAAGAGGAAATGGAGTCACTGAAGAAAAATAAAACGTGGGTTTTGGTAAATAGACCCGAAAATAAGAAAATTATCAAAAATAAATGGGTTTATCGCGTAAAATACAGACCTGATGGAACAATAAATCGACACAAAGCGAGATTAGTGATTAAAGGGTGTTCTCAAATTGAAGGAATTGACTTTACAGAGACATTTAGTCCAGTCGTGCGGTTTGATACGGTTAGGTCAGTGTTAAGTTTCGCGGCATGCGAAGAAATGCATTTATTCCAATTTGATATAAAGACTGCATTTTTATACGGGACATTAAGTGAAGAGGTATACATGCATCAACCAGAAGGCTATACAGACGGGACACAAAAGGTGTGTAAATTAATAAAAAGTTTATACGGGTTAAAACAAGCACCGAGGTGTTGGAACAAACATTTTACTGAATTTTTAAAGGACTGTAATTTAAAAGAAAGTGCTTCGGATCCGTGTTTGTATTTTAAAGAGTCGAAAAATGAAAGACTTTTAGTGGTGTTGTATGTTGATGATGGACTGATAGCTGCGTCAAATAGTGATGAAGCTGTGGGGCTGTTAAATCAGTTAAAAACAAAGTTTGAAGCTACAACAACGGCGAATGTGAGCAATTTTTTGGGAATAGAAATTACTCAAACTAAAAATGGAATATTTGCCAGTCAACAAAGGTACTCACAGAAGGTGTTAGAGCGGTTTAATATGCTGGAAGCAAGTCCAGTTAGTACCCCAATAGCAACCGGTTGGAATTTCGATGAGTCTAAATCGAACATCGGCGATTTTCCTTATCGCGAGGCAGTGGGTAATATTATGTACCTACAAATGGTGACTCGACCTGATTTAGCCTTTGCTATTAATGTGGCTTCAAGGGTTTTGGATAAACCAACAGTAGCGCATTGTCAGTTGGTTAAGAGAATTTTGCGGTATATAAAAGGTACGCAACATATGGGTCTACTTTATAACAAGGACAATACGTTTGAGGCTTATTGTGATGCAGACTACGCAGGAGGTCCTGGAAGCAGGAAATCAACGTCGGGAATGGTGTGCAAATTCGGAGGAGCAGCGATCACCTGGCAATGTAAAAGACAACAATGTGTTGCCCAATCGACAACGGAGGCTGAATTTATAAGTGCGGCTAGTGCGGTTAAAGAATTAGTGTGGCTAAATCGTTTACTCTCGGAAATAAAGAGAGAAGTGTTTGAAACTAGTGTTTTACTAATAGATAATATGAGTGCTATTAAGCTTATAAAAAATCCTGAGTTTCATCAACGCACTAAGCACATTGATGTTAGATATAATTTTATTAGAGATATGTACTTAAAGAATGAGATTAGCGTTAGTTACGTATCATCTGAATATCAGGTAGCTGATATTTTTACAAAACCGTTGGCCAAACCAAGGTTTGAAATTCTTAGAAATAAGTTAGGATTATGCTAGTCGCTATTGCTTTGTTTGTTTCTTTATTTAAGTACTTTTAAGATTTTTGTGTTTGCTTGTATGTGTCATAATTTAACATGGTTTATTGAGGGTCAAGTTTTAGAGAGAGTGTTAAGATTAATTGCAGTTCTTTACATGTCAATAATACTTATAGAAAACTCAACCCTCAGTTAGATAAGATAGTAGTGAAACAAGTGTCATAAAACCTTTCACAGATGGTTTTATGCACACAAGTGCCACTTTAGAGTAAGACAGTATTCTTACTTAATAAGGACCTTTTTGTAAAACAGTTGGCCTGTACCTGGCATAGAGTCAAGTCGCTTTTATACATTTTATTATAAATAAACTTTTCTTTACTTTTAATAAATAACTCATTGCAACCTCATCCAAAATAACAACATTTATAAACCACAAAACAGATTCCACCTTTGCAAACCATCTTATAAATGACCATAATTTCAATTCTAACTTTAAAATCTTACATATTGAAAACAAAGGTATTAAACTGAATTTATTGGAGTCTTTCGAAATTAACAAATTAAAGAAAGAAATTGATATTAATTTAATAGAAACCAATAATTTCCCGCAATAAAACTTATTTTAATAAATTCAAAAAGTTTAGTGTTATATAACTATAAAGAATTCCCAGAATTATTGTTCCTTTAATGTATAACGCTAATTTAATCTACCCCCAAAATTGTACTAAAATATTAACTGTAAAACCAATATTTATATAAATAGAAAATTAATATTAGTTTCTATACGATCTGAAGATGCTACTGTGTAGCTAAACAAATGTCATATTTAAATAAAATAGTGAAACTTTCAAACAGTGTAGTTTATATTAACATAATATTTATTTATAAATTATACAAAATATTAATTTAATAATTATTAAAAAAATTTATTAGGTTAAAACCATGCTTAATAGAGAATATAGAAATAATAAACTGATGCATATTAAAAGATAAGCCATGATAACCAAATTTAAAAATTGGTAACATAATAAATAATATTATCATAATTATCTTTTTAAATTTCAATTTTTTTCGGGCTCTTAATTAACAAAAATTAAATTGTTGGTCATATTTAATGTTTTAATTGTTGTTAATTCTTAAAATTATTTGGATGGGTTTTTTGGTTTGATGAATATGGAATAGTTATATTTTAGTTTATCCTAAGCTAATATTAATATCATAATATTATTATTGTAACAATTTTTAAATTTGGTTGTCAATGCTTATCTTTTAATAGGCATAATCTATTTATTATTTCCATATTCTCTACTAAGCATGGTTTTAACCTAATCAATTTAAATAATTAAATTAATATTTTGTATAATTTTAAATGTATGAATAAATTATTCGTTTAAAAAGTATTTCTTCCATGGTAATCATAAAACCTTTTTTAAAAACTCAATGGTACAATTGACGCGGCTGATATTCCCTGCATAGTAAAACAATTGGGTTTGTTCCCACTTTTTATTTTCTTAAATGTTAACTTTAAAACAAATCAATTAACCTTATTGTATCATATTACATGAACCATTGTAAAAACTCTTCAAAACACATGTCTAAACTCTATATCTGTGCCGTTTTAAGCTAAATTTTCATGTATCCGTTTGTCCGTATTTTAATAAAATCGTCCGACAAGAAATGTTCTAATTTTTATGCATCCGTTTTTTAAATTTGGCGACAAATAGAAATATTCACTTCACTAAATTTACCTAATGCTTAATGTCATAGTTACAATTGTAACTAACAGTTATTTGTCTAATAAATTTAAAGGTAGGTAAATATACCATATAAAAATAATATATAAGCCTTAATGTGCATTAAAATGTAGCAGGTCCTTTTAGTTTTGGTTTTAATATTTTTTTGTTTGTCTTTTTTTCCGTTCTTCTTATTAAATAAAAACATAACAGTAGCACATTATTCACATAACGAACGTAATGACAATCATAATTAAAAAAATATTAAAAGAATTGAAAATAAATTATATTAAATTAACGTTAGGCGTCAAAAACGGATGTGTTGTGATGGATGAGTTAAAATTATGTTAACTTTCTCCGTCAGACGTACGAAGTTGAAACTTGCCGGACCGATGAAATATCATAATTTTCGAATTAATTTTATTTAAAATAACATGGAGTATTTTAGACAAACTGCACATTTTTACAAAGTTATAATACAGTGTGTCCCGAAAATAGTTATCCAACGCCATACCACGCTATAGGGAGAATACATTAAATAAGTCTTTCTGACAAGTGGTTATTAACCACTTTCGTTCACGAAGCTTTAATAAATCATTAATTTTGCGTTTTTACGATTGCTGTACAGCTTATTCAATTTTATTTGTATATTTGTATAGTTTGTTTATTGTCAAATCATTTAAATATAGCGTTTTGTTAACTTCATATCAAGTTTGCACTACAACTTATTAGCGACTAATTATGGAACATATCTCAATTGGTCAAAGTTGTTTTGCCAACTTGATACACATACATCAGATGTACTTTGGTAGAACATAGTAACTAAAGTTATTAGGTTTTAAAAAAATACTTCATTTTTGGATTTAGCGTTCAAATTTACCTCTAGTAACTATTTTTTATCTCTTTTTATATTACGGTGGCTGTAAAAGTCTATCTCTATTTTTAGTAACTTCAACAATCGGACCTTACCAGACTAGTTTTACGTTTGAAATAGTATGTGTAACTTGTAATAACGGTGTTTTTTATTAAGTGTTTTATTATTAAGTTCAAAATATGTCCAGAAGAACAAATTTGAAGTGGCACCGTATTTTGAACCATTAGTGTTAAAAACCATAAAGAAAGGAACAATGTTAAAGACTCTTTTTCCCTTATTTAGAGATTAAAGAAAAAAATTGTTCTGGATTTACTTACCATAATATCTAAATTTTCAATTTTACTTAATATATTAATTATTATATATAATATGGATTTTTTAATTGTATTGGTATTGGTAAAAAACCTAAATTATTTATTTTAACTTATAGTCGATTTACTATATTTTACTCAATCACATTAAAAACATTAAAAAGATACATACTATCAATTGATATGGCCAGCGTTTGCATAATTACTTATATAAATAAATTAACAAAATATAGTAACTCATATTTGTAAACAAATTACTTATTTTTTTGATAATTTTTTAATTTTTTCAAATTCCTCGTTAAAAATTATGTAGGAATTGATCATTAGATATTTTAAATATTTTGTTGCAAAGAAAGGCTGCAATTTTAGAAAATACTCTGTCTTGAAAAGTTACAAAATCATAGTTACTAGGTTTTGCAGAGGCAGAGATGAGAGATTCTCTCATCCCACATCACATATAGTATTTTTCCTACCTTTGGTGGGCCTGCACGCAACTGTCGCAAATAAATTCGGAACAATCTGCGCAGTAGCTGGTGGCATTCGCGTCGTCGCTGCAGCTGCTACATTTTAGGTCGGCAGCTTTCGAGGTGTTCTGGTCGTCCGTCGAGGCCGTCTCCAGCAAGAACTGGTTGTCGATAATTTTCGACGTGTCGCATTTGCTTGAACATTGCGTACACTCCAATTCATCTGTAAAAACGACATTTCTCACAATGTGCTTGTTTTAAAGAAAAATTGATATCAATGAATAATATCTATTAATTTATGTTATAAAATAAAAAATAAATTATTTTTATCTGTTTCTTCCAGAGCAGTGGTTCTTAATTTATGGTCAAATGGTTCAAATCTGATAGCTTTTAAAAACGCCGAGAAAAGATAAGCCTTGTATAGTTTAAAAAGCATCAATAATAATAATTTTCAGCGTATGTCCCGAAACCCCAAATATATACTATAGTATTGAAAGAGTATACTTTCAAAAGCGGAAACGATTTTACATACAATGCCATTGAATGTTTTTTGGCCTTAAAATTTTGGAAAATGGCAAAATAAATTATTCATGGGAAATCATGGAAACTCCTTGAAAAAACGAATGTAACTATTTTTTTTAACTTTGTCTTGCCAATTTGGCTATGGCTCTTATAAAAAAAGTTCTGTATTATTTGTGATATCTATATATATGCTTTAAATGGTCACTTATTCTAGAAATAAAGTTATTATAAGCAATATATTTAATATAAAATGTCTACATTTTTGAGGATCACAAATAATGATGATAATACAGGCCACCAAAATAAAAATTTATAAAACCAGCGTTGCATTAAAAAATAATGCACTGTAATTTTAATCGTCAATTACAGAATAATGCCTAATGTTTGAAAGTTCCTCTATTGTTTTTGAACTAATGGGTAATGAATAATAATCCCATTGTTCATTATCCATATAATGATCAATACACAATATTTACATGAAAAATTACTGAAATATTAATGAATGACCAAAAATAGTTAACTCATTATTGTTTTAACTGATAATTGATTTTTTTTCTATTTTTCATTGTTAAAAAAATAGACTGAAAATGATCTATTGTAGCAATAAATACCTATTAAATTCAGTTTCACTTTGCGGGGGACAGGTGAAAACTTTTTTGGGAGCCCCCTTACACAGACCTTTGAAAACTTACAGAAAACATTAATTGTCAATCTCGTTGTCAATGATGCGTTGACGATCAAGAACTTTACTGCGCGTAGCAAATCGCGATCTCACTCGATCACGTGTTCTGTATGCTTAACAAGAGCTTGTAGAAAGCTTTTCTCACAAGTAAAATACAATGTTTTTTCTATGACCCTTTTTAAATTTCTTTTATGCACGATGACATTATAATATGACAATTATAACAAAAATTCTTTGACGTAAACGTCTTTTTATAGCCCGCGGGCGTTATTATGGCCCAGCGGGCTATAATGAAACGTCAAAAATTAAAAACAACAATGTTACACCATTTGATATATTCGAAGTAAGTTTTTTGTATAAAGATTTTGATTTTTCCGGCAGCAGGCCGCAATTTTTCGCCTTTTCAGCTGCTTCCTCAATTTCATTCATCTTTAAACTTTAAAACTGACTGATGTCAGTTGACATTATAATATGACAATTATTACAAAAATTCTTTGACGTAAACGTCTTTAAAAAACAATAATATATTAAAAATAATAATATATTAATCGTGCATAAAGTTTTGTATGCATTGCTGGCATAACTGGTTTTTATGGTCCTACGACGCTTTTCTAGCCCTCGCGCTAACGCGCTCGGGCTCGAAATAGCGCCTCGGACCATAAAAACCTTATTATGCCCTTAATACATAAATAACTATTTTATTATTTTGAAATACAAAACAAAATAATTAATTTCTTTTCACAGACCTGTCACTTTTCATACAGAAATGTCACTTTACATTCGAGTTTTGCCTTGCCAATAAAAAGATTAATTTTCTAAGCAACGATGCCATTACTAAATGTGACTTTAACATAGTGGTCATAGAAAAACTATTTTAACTTATTTTCTTAAAATAATTTAAACATTTCAGAAAAGATTGAATTTATGTATCTATATGGTATGTTATATGAATTGTGCTTAGAATTTTACAAGGAATCGAAAAATAAATTTATATATAGTGTGATCCATGAAAAAAAATTACCTGTACCTATACTGATCAATTTTCCAATTTATTTTATACGTAGAAAAAACGCATTTTTATTAAAAAAAAATTACTTAGTACCTACATAACCACTTTTAAATTTTATTATTTATTATTATTATTTATTATAGGGGATTACACTGTACCTACAGGCTGTCAAGCTACTAAAAATGTTTTTTAAACTTGCTACATTTACAATGTGTTTTATTTTTATTATTAAGTAATGTTACTTCTTTAGCTAACACCCTGTATAACTTAATAAAAACAGTTTATAATGTCCTCTTACTTAAATTGTTACTCGTAATTTATTTTGATAGATAGGCAGGTATCATCCAGATATCTGGAAAAATGCTTGGACCTTTGTAATTAAAAAAATAAAACAGTCAATTAAGTAAATTTTAAAATAATAATAATAATAATAATAAAGCAAAAAGAAAAGTCAAGTAAAAACTTATAGGATTTACTTTTTAACCCAATGACCTAAATTTCCACATTCAGATAGGCAGAAAATGTATATTAAGAATTTTAGAAAGTTGATGAACTTCTGCAAATTGAAAGCTTCTCTACAAGTTGTTACAAATAAGAAATAGTTTTTGGTAGGTACTTGGTTCCCAAATAAATTATCCTCAATAAAAATACCTAATTTTCATTAATAATGCATGAGAAATAAATTATTGCTTGATTTGTTATGCATTAAGCCAATTCATCATTATTTAACTTTAAAATATTTATAATGCAGGAGTAAACATAAATAAAATATTACATTATGATACAAAAACAAAATAAGTACCTAAGTAGTTCAAAAGCATTCATGTGGGTTATTATTAATTTTATTTAAAAATATCTTACTTGTACTCATTCCTTCGTATTGGTCAAAGATTTTGCTATTTATGCACCCTGAACATGCATTATGCAGACATTCCAGTAATTTAGGCTCATCGTTAAAACTCAAAATTTGGTCACAAAAAGCACACTTGAAGACAAAACCTTCTCCTGTAGTTGGGCTTTCGACATGGTTATCATCAGTAACAATATTTTCCTTTTGTTCAAGTTCAGGATTGTGTAATTCACTGGCTTCAGACATTATAGCATCGATCAACATATCTTGATTTAGTTGCTCAACATCAGCTGATGAAATGAGAACTTTTTCAGCTGAATTCGGATCTTCCATCATTGGAAGAAATGAATGATCGTTTAACATTAAGTCATCAGCCATGGTTTTGCCTCTTTTTAAAACTGTTAAACTTCACAACACAACTAATGAGTTCACATTATTTTTTTAGGAACACTTGCATTGGAAAAGCACCATTTTATTTCGCATCTTGAACTTGTAAAAGTGTATGTTTTTATAAGTTCAAATTACTTTTATTCATATTTATATTTATTTATGACAGACTTTTATTTATGGACGCCTTTCATGAACTTCTAAAACTAGAAGACATGGACAAAAATAATCCTATAAAAAATAAATCCCTAAAAACAACCCTAACAATAAATCCATTTAAAACACTAAGAACTTATTGAATATGCACAAATAATTTACAATATGAATTATTACTTCATAACTAAGTACGAATTTTTAATTTTTATATGATTTTTATAAATATTTACTTAATTTTCGAAGAATTAATAGTGCTTTTTCTTTTTATACTGTTGGTACATTTATTGGCGGTCAAAATTTTGTGTCTAAAGTAGCTTATAAAAATCTTTACAAAAGTGTAAAAATGTATCTTTAAACTTAATAAAGTAAATTTACAATAAAATTTTAAAATTATTTAATTTATTGTGTTAAATTGTTTCTACTTTAGTTAAAAACCTAAAAACTTTTATTTGTTTAATTCTGTCGGTATCTTAATCACTGCTTATTTTGACAAATCCTACTGCATGTATGAAATTTTTGGTTATTTAATTCTAATAAAATATACAAGTTAAAGATGACTCGGTAAGTATTTTTCTGTAAGAATTTAATAGGTATAATTTTACAAGGTGTTAAATAATTAAGTACCGCATCAGAAAAGCATAAAATTCTTATGTTTTTACCGATCTTGCTTCGTTTTCGTTATAATAAACTAATTTTAGACTTTTTTATTTATTACTTTAAGAGCAAACATAGAACTGGGGAATGTAACTCCACACAACATTCAACAACTGAAGAGGTTAAACAGTGTGGTGTTTCCTGTGTCTTACAACGACAAATTCTACAAAGATGTGCTAGAAGCAGGGGAATTAGCAAAACTAGCTTATTACAACGATATAGTCGTCGGAGCTGTCTGTTGTCGGATTGATACATCGGAAAAGTCAAGAAGATTGTATATTATGACTTTGGGATGCCTGTATCCATACCGTCGGCTTGGTATTGGGACTTTGATGGTCCAGCATGTCCTAAACTACGTTGAGCAAGATGGAAACTTTGACAGCATATTTTTGTAAGTATTTTTAACAATTCTATTAATGGAACTAAATAAATTATATATTATATTGTAACATGGAGATTCCAGAGGAAGTAGAAGTTTATTAAAGTACAGTAAATTAATGGTGAACTGATAACATAGTCAAATGAAAATTAACAAATTTTAACCTTTCCTATCAAATTTTGGAAAAAAAATGCCTTCTAGTAACTTTACGAACACTTCCTGTCCACAAAATTATTCTCTCTACCTTTTACACAAACAGCCAATAATGGTTGTTATGGAAACAAAACAAAAGAGTATACAGAGAGCTGTAGTAATAGTAGTTTTAACTCATATTTTTACAAATTTACAAAAATAATTATAAGTCTTTCCCTGTTAATGTGACAATGTAGAGTATTTTTTAATAATTAAATATTTTTTAATAAATGGCTATCTACACTTAAACAATATTAAATATATTAATATTTATTGAATATTTTAAGGTTTTCATAATTTCTAAAAAAAAATACATTCTAGTTAGTAAAGCCATTTAAACTTTAAGAACAGTTTATTTTACACAATTTAAGTAAATAATATTAAAATTTTATGAGATTAAAGGATATTCACATTTGTGAGATTAAAAAAATTATGTTAATCTTAAAATATTAGATAATTTTGTTCATGAATAAAATCATAAAATAAACTTTATTTTCATTGGTGTTTTAGGCATGTACAGGTAAACAATGAAGGAGCAATAGACTTTTACAAAAAATTTGGTTTTGAAATTGTTGAAACCAAAGAACATTACTACAAGAGAATAGAACCTGCCGATGCTCATGTTTTACAGAAAACATTACGTCAGGGGCAACAGAATGGCACTGTTGAATAAAGTAGAGTTAGTTTATTTAAAATTATTGTATTTATCACCATCAAAAGTTTTGTTACAGTATTTTTATTGATTGTTTTTGTATTATACAACAGCATATTGTTTTTATTTTGTTTCTGTACATACTGATAATAAAGTCAGGTCCACTATATAGTATTTTCTTACAAGAAAAATGCCTTTTATGGAATAATTATTTTACTGATACATTAAATAAATTTGTAACAAAAAAATAGTTTCATCCACTTCCAATTCTACAGTGTTTAGTTTCTTTAATGTTATGTCTATTCTTTCTAAAATTTCTCGTTCTGGAGGGGTGATCATTTCTTCAATCTGAAAAAAAATGTTGATATTTTAATAATTTAGTTTTAATAATAATATTGCAAATAGAACAAATAATTTATATGGTTGTAAGGTTTTTAAAATTGAATTATAATTTAACGTTTTAAGACAATTTATTAATACACAATGATTCCAGAAAAGAAAAGTATAATGGAGGAGCTATTTTAGGTGAAAAAGAAATAATTTCAAACCATTAGTTTTCAAGTTTTTGGGCATTAAGTTAAAAAAAAATAACACTATAATAACTAGTATGACATTAAAAAAAATTTATTTTTTTTTTTAATCCAATCAAGAATACTTTTTGCTTTTTGGTCCCTTTTTGCAAAGAAAAGACCATGTGAATTTGGTACAAATAATTAGGATTAATTTTTTGCTGTCAAGCTAATTTCGTTATATTTTCTGAAAATAATCCAAGATGTATTTTTTGTTTATAAAGGTCTTAATTTAGAACTAAGGTGACCAACTGTCCTGGTTTACCCAGGACAGGTTCTAGCTTTTGCTAATGTGTCCTGGTGTTAATTGTGTACTGATTTTGTCCTGGTTTATACTATTTTTTTTATTATTGACGTTATTAGCACATCTTTATTCCAAATAATAAACTTTTATCTACTCCTATTGCATAATTTTGGTTTTTTTTTTCCGTGAATATTGATAAACATTATAAGGGTATTTTTCAAAAAGTTGGCCAAAATAGGAATTTTATTAAAAAAATTATAATTTTTATACATTAGATATATTACTATATATAGTACATATTGGAACCTATCGCGGATACACCAAAGTAGTAGGACAATAAATCTGTCAACAACAAATGCGTAAGGCATGAAACCCAGTAACTTAAAGAACGGTCCCAACAAAACAACGTTAATTTTAACCCAAACGAGACCAATAATAAACATTTGACACTTAAATAGAATGTTAATCAAAATTTGAAAGAAAGGATAATAAAAAATGTAAATAAAAAAATTAAATTAATATTTGTAATGCCTTTTATTTTGGCGTCACGAAAAAGACAACATTTATTCTTCCTACAATAAAAATTCGTAAAAACATACAATCTAGTTCGTATCATGTATGACAAGCATAAAATATTCAATATTTAATAATATTTTAAACCTCCTTAAAAAAATGAAGCTAAAATATCATTAGTTGAATCTAATCTAAAAGTGATGTGACACAATCTTAAAGAAACATTCCAGCTGAATGCTTAAAATAAGTATACTAAACACGGCCGCGAAAGCTTATTAAATGCCTTGGACGCAATATACTGCCTTAGCAGTAAAATGTATGCTCAGCTATAATATGAGTCTTGTCTATAATGAACCATATTTTATATCTCCAATATTATTATAATTATTAATAATAAAAAATGATTTCCATGGATAAGCCAAAACTGTTGACAGCTATAGTATTTTTTGATAGTTTATTTCAAAAAAACAATTTTTAAAAGTATCTTACATCTGAAATTTGTCCCTCCTCGGCTCCCTTTTCCCTCATATCCATTGCAATAGTGTCCACTCTTTGTTTTTTCACTATAATTCGTTTATTTATTTCCTTTTCGTGATTTTTCCTTGTCATAATGTTAAACAAAGTTTTATAACAATGCTCTAAAGTCATTCTAACCACTTGCTCCAAATTTATGTGGAATAAAGTAAAAGTTTTATTTGGCCCATTGTTGGTGTTGGATTTTTTCAGTTCTTGAATCTAAATTATAAACAGTTTTAGATTATGGTTTCTTAAATTTACCTATTACCTGTAGAAAATTTTCCTCTAAAAGTAAATAAGAAAGTCTTTTAGCCTCTTTGGCAGGTATCATGGCTAACTTTTGGATTTGATCAGGTTCAATATGTTTTTTTGATTTAACTAATCTAAAAATTCTTGCAGCCTTAGAATCATATTTTTCTAAAACAATTTGTTCTATGGTTTCCCATGCAAATTGTATAAAAGCCTCCTTCATAAATATTTGAAATGAACCTCCACTAGCTTCACCAGCTTTCCTAATTAGATTACTATTATCTTGTTCTATAAAAAACATATTTAACAATTAGGGCACAGTTTTTTAATCATGTGGCAATATTTACCCACTGTTATATGTATTTTATCATACTTTTTAGATGCCATTTAGAAAAATGACAATTGACAATATCTTTGTTTCTATTAAAATCAACTCATCAACTTACCTATCACATTAACATACTGATCAAAAAACGCCAATAGTTGCTTGTGTGTTTCTTGTTTCCGAATAATATCCTTGATTTCCAATATCGGCACAGGATTTGAGGAATCTGCCCAGGGCATAGTCCTAATGTACATTTGCCTTAACAATAATTCAACAAACTTTCCAGCATTATCATCAATCTTTTTTGTAAAAGCAGTTACAATAATTTTATCCCTCATATCTTGATGAAACCTATCAAAATTTATAGTCCAATAAATACCTTTGTCAGGTATTTTATCCATCGATTCAGCTCCCGCGTTTATTTGTGCCAAAATTTTGTTATCAATATCAGGAAATATGTATAACTCGTTATCCTGTATTTGAAGATCAGGGACAGGTTTGTCATCTTTAGGGTATGGCATTCTAACTAAATATTTAGCTACAACTAATGATTTAAATTTATCCTTCACTAAACTCACTGACGTGGCTTGTTCATTTTTTTTTAATCTTTCTATTACTTTTAATATAAGTTCGGAAGCAGTCCAGTAACCTCTTTGCAATACTTCTTCTATGATCATTTCAGATTCATCACCAAATTTTTTCTTAATAAGATTGTTATATTTTGGATATCGGAGCATAAGTAAAATCCTATCAGGTTTTAAAGTATAATTTGCTAGATTTTCATTTTTGTTGGTTACGAATGTGACCAAGTTATATTTTATTAAAATACAAAGCGATTCTTTTATCTACAATAATTAAGTTAATAAAATATTAAAATATAGATGCATATGTACCTTGGATAATGGTAATTCAGTATATTTCATAATATAAAGTAAGGGATTTGTTCCATATTGAAATAAATAGGACCCCACTTGCTCAACAACAGGCCCAAATCTTTCCAAGAGTATTAATTTAACAACTTTTCCGAATACTGTCGACATTCTACCAATATACTAAGCTTTAAACTTAAAATTAACGCAAAATCAAAGTTTGTGCAAAACAATGTTGACATTTTAGGTTATGTCGCGATATTGTTTAAGGTTATAATTTAGCAGGGTTGTCAACCTTACAAATTGCATTTACCGTTCCCAGATCATACACTTTTATTTTGTAAAAATGCCTATTTGTTTAAAAGAAAAGTGTATGAATACATTTTTTAAACGTTAAAAATCTTCATAAATGTGCTAAGTCAATAAACATTTTTCCTTTATTTTTGCGCGTGCAAAAATAAGCTCAGGCACTTGACCAAGCAATATATATTGACGGCAAAGGCAAATTATCCTTAATATGCTAAGACAAATTTTCCTTCACCATTTTTTATAATTCGCAAAATTTGAAGGAGTTAAAATACTTTTAAAGCTGCCAAAAAGAGCGCAGTTTTATATATTTGTAATATGGGTTGCCTACCTACATTCTAACAAATACGGGAGTCGTACCTATTGCGGTAAACTATAGTTACTAAAGAAAACAGGTTATTTTTGAAAAATTCCCCGAAAATAAACAAACAAATCAAAATAATTTTTGATTAAATTTAAAAGAGTTTGATAAATAAAATAATATCGAAATTCACTTTATCGAATTCAAAATATCGAACACTTTTTATCGAAAATCAAAATATCGAAAATACAAAATGTCGAAAATCAAAATATCGAAAATTAAAATGTCGAAAATGATAATATCGAAATTTTATTTAATCGAATTTTCAATTTATCGAAAATAAAATATCGACGTTCATAATATCGAAATTCACTTTATCGAATTCAAAATATCGAACACTTTTTATCGAAAATCAAAATATCAAAAATACAAAATGTCGAAAATTAAAATGTCGAAAATGATAATATCGAAATTTTATTTAATCGAATTTTAATGTGAAACTAAACCACATTTTCTTATTTTGAATTTGATATTTTGTTTAAATATTTCAATTAATCGACATATTATTTTAATCCGAAGTGTATATGTATAGAGGCACCTCTGATATAGAAATGTACTCAAACTCAACAACACAACCCAACCGACCCCGCCCCATTGCCCCCCCCCCCCCGCCCCATTGAGCAAAAAACCCAACTAAAATGGGCTAATTTATGTAATTAAAAAGTGTTTTATTTTTATCGTAACATGAATTTGCCCATTTTAGTTGGGTTTTTTGCTCAATGGGGCGGGGGGGGCCAATGGGGCGGGGGTCGGTTGGGTTGTGTTGTTGAGTTTGAGTACATTTCTATAAAACGCGCATCTCTAGGAGCCAGGGAGCCAAGATAATTCGGTGCATAACCGTAACTTTATCTACAGAGGCGCCTCTGTACATATACACTTCGATTTTAATCATACATTTTAATTTTCGATATTTTTAAATCGATATTTTAATTTTCTAAATTTTAATTATTCGACATTTTCAAATCGACATTTTAATTTTCGATATTATCATTTTCGACATTTTCAAATCGACATTTTAATTTTCGATATTATCATTTTCGACATTTTAATTTTCGAAATTTTAATTATTCGACATTTTCAAATCGACATTTTAATTTTCGATATTATCATTTTCGACATTTTAATTTTCGATATTTTGATTTTCGACATTTTGTATTTTCGATATTTTGATTTTCGATAAAAAGTGTTCGATATTTTGAATTCGATATAATGAATTTCGATATTGTGAACGTCACCCTAAAATAACAGTAGACCCTGACAGCAAATTCAGCGGTGCCAATGTAGTAAAAATAAAACGATGTATTTAAATAAACAAATTAATACTTTACAAAATTTAATTTAATTATCTATCTATAAGTATCTTTAAAAACTTAAAAACAACATAGAAAGTAAATAAGTATAGGGTTAGTTAACCAGTAATTGACCAGTTAAGGAAATTTTCGTGAATAAATTATTATATTTTCCTCTATTTTTAGTTTAAAATAAAATAAAAAATATCATTGAGTTTAATTTTGTTTTAAGATTTGATAACAGCTGACTAAAAAAGAAAAAGAGTTTCTATGTCGACGAAAAAAAATTTAATGCACGAAAATTCATGATTTTCCAGTGGTTGACCAATGCCTTGTAAGCAGATATCATTAATAAAACTGTGCCATCTAGAAGTTAAGGGGTAAAACACTATGCAAATAATATAAGTTTTTAATTAGGTAATACAGGGACCTTGCTTTTATCATTTAATCGGTACATTGGTCAATAACTGGTTGATGGTCAATTACTGGTTAACTGACCCTACTTATTTACTTTCTATGTTGTTTTTAAGTATATATACTTAAGTAACAATTGTTATAACAATATAAATTGTTAATTTGTGGGTTTAATAGCAAAATTAGGGTTTAAAACTTTCATACTTTAGTGTTTCTTATGTTGGCAGCAAGAAATTTAAAATAAAAATTTTAAAAAGTGCAATAAAATGTTTTTTAAGATTTCCATAAAAAATATTAATAAGTTTAAAAATAAATTTTAAAAAGAATATATTGAAAATAAGTTATTTTAAATAACACTTGTGCACTTTAAAATTTTTCTTCGAATCTGTGCTGTAAAAAAAATGGAAACTATTTGTGAATGTGTCCGATGCCTTACAATAGTTATTTGTTTTACAAGTGTTGAAAAGCGACTTTTTCATGCGAGTTTTTAAGTTGCCCACGAGGCCGTTAGGCCGAGTGTGCATTAACACGAGCTTAAAGAAAGCTTTTTTCACAAGTACCTATAACACAATATTTTTTCTGGTACCATTTTATTTTTTATTATTTTTAAATACAAAACAAAATAACCTAAAAACTTTTTTGACAGCTGAATGTCAAACGATGATGTCAATTACTTTTCACACAGACCTGTCACTTTTCACACAGAAATGTCACTTTACATTCGTGTTTTGCCTTGCCAATGAAAAGATTCTAAGCAACGATGCCATCATGAAAAGTGACTTTTACATAGTGGTCGTAGAAAAAATCATTTATTAAATTTTGACATAAGTATACTTATGTATACTACTATGTACACTTTTCAAATGGAGATAAAAGCTTAAGGTAGGGTAAAATATTATTTAAAATAGTCGCGACAAAACACAAAACACAAAATACAAAATTGTTGAGTTGCTATTAAGGCTTTACAGCAAATTAAACAAAACATAATCGCCTATGCTTGAAACTTGAATGTTTAACTTGCATTTAAATTTGCGTAATCCGCGTAAAATATTTGCGAAATTATACAAAACGTTCACCCCATTAAAACATAAATCATCTTCAGCAAGTTTCTATAATTTACGCACCGATGGCTTGCACCCCTTCCGCAATTTGCTGATGATTCTATCACAATGGATTAATTTCTTTTTTGTTATCATAAAGCCGATTAAATCGGAATATGGTTTTGTCAAGTTTAATCCTGCTGCGATAAGATATATTTTGTTTCGATAAATATTTTTTTCTAGGTAGGTACCTAGGTAAATGTTGTTAATACCTAAACATGCCAAAATCTCTGCCACGCGTGGTCACGGTAGAAACGATTCTATTACGTGCAAGTAAGTAAAACATTTTTTTTTCTACTTCTTTTATGGAATATGACCGTTCTAATATCACTTTTATCTATGGAATGACATATATTCCGTAAAGTGTTACAGAATTAAATATTCTATCATCTGATGACAGAATAAATACTCGTGGCGACATCTCTGTTTTTAATATCTAACAAATTTTAGACCGATCCAACCTCACTTTCTTCCAATTAAATTATTTGTCTATGGTATTTTTTGGAAACGTAGAAAAAGTATAGTCTGAAACACGTTTGGAATTGCATATTCCCCTCTCGTGAAACCGTCAAACTCGCCTTCGGCTCGTATGACAAACTTTTCACTCGAGCGGAATATGCCGTATTCCAAACTTGCAAGTAACATGTTACCATTACTCAATGATGTTACAGAATATACTATTTAGTGTGAGTTACGTTCGAATAACGTTATTGGATTGTATACAGACACGTTTATTTCAAATTGTAATTAAGTTACTATAACGTGGCGGTATAGTGGCCAAAACTTAAACGAAACTTTATTACTCGTTACTTTCTATCCTGGTCTCTTTCCAGCATACTATTTATCTTATTATCTTTGCTTTTTCTGAAACTGGACATTAAACTGACACTGAATACTAAAATTATTATAATGAAAGAATACACCTTGCAAATAATAACTAGAATTAAAATAGGTAATACAAATACATAAAATTAACACGAATAACATTTTTTCTACTTCTATTACGGAATATGACCGTTCTAATATTACAAAACATATATTCTTTAAAGTATTACAGAATGAATTATTCTATCATTTGGATGACGGAATAACCACTGGTGGCGACATCTCTGTGTTTAATATCTAAGAAATTTAAAACCGATCCAACCTCATTTTCTCCAAATTAAGTTATTTTTCTATGGCATTTTTTGGAAACGTAGAAAAAGTATAGTCTGAAACAGGTTTGGAATTGCATATTTCGCTCTCGTGAAACCGTCAAACTCGCTTTCGACTTGTGTGACAAACTTTTCAATCGAGCGGAATATGCCGTATTCCAAACTTGTTACAGAATATCCTATTACTGTCAAACATTGGTGTCATATCTTGAAATATAAGCACGCCCTCTTGAAATTATGTGGTAGGTAATAAAAAATAATATGAAATATGTTAACTTAGCCGATCTAAAAATTATTTATCTAGAGTCCTCAAATAATTGTTTTATTATTTCTGGTCACCTCATTTTCCTACAATGGTGACTATTTGTAAATATGTCTACTTTTTAAGAACCTAAGTGAAACGTGGAAATTACTTAAGCAAGTAGCAAGAACGTGGGAATGACCACCGTAATTATATAATCAAGTTATGCCTAGAGATGCGACTTGAAAAAAATTGGTCCGTTTTTTTTTTGTTTTTTTTCAGGTTTTTTTTTCATTGTTTTTTTTTCAAATGTTTTTTTTCACATTTTAGGTTTTTTTTCAACATTAGTCCCATTTGCCTAATTTTTTAGGTTTCATGGACTAAAATT